AGAAGAAATGGACAACTTTCTAGAAAAATACAACCTAACAAGACTGAAAGGAAGAAACAGAAAATCTGAAGAGACCAATTACCAGCAGCAAAATTGAATTGGTAATCAAAAAACTACCTAAGAACAAAATGCCTGGACCAGATGGCTTCACTGCTGAATTTTATCAAACATTTAGTAGAGACCTATCACCATCCTCCTTAAAGTATTCCAAAAAGTAGAACAGGAGGGAATACTACCAAACTCATTCTATGAGACCAGCATCACTCTAATACAAAAAAAAAAAAACAGGAAAAGACTCCACAAAAGAAGAAAACTACAGACCAATATCCCTGATGAACATACATGTAAAAATACTCAACAAAATATTAGCAAACAAAATTCAAAAATACATCAAAAAGATCATCCATCATGATCAAGTAGTATTTATTCCAGGGATGCAAGGATGGTACAATATTCGAAAATCCATCAACATCATCCACCACATCAACAAAAAGGACAAAAACCACATGATCATCTCCATAGATGCCGAAAAAGCATTCTACAAAATTCAACATCCATTCATGATAAAAACTCTCAACAAAATGAGTATAGAGGGCAAGTACCTCAAAATAATAAAGGCCATATATGACAAACCCACAGCCAACATCATACTAAACAGAGAGAAGCTGAAAGTTTTTCCTGTAAGGTCGGGAACAAGACAAGGATGCCCACTCTCCCCACTTTTATTCAACATAGTACTGGAAGTCCTAGCCATGGCAATCAGACAACACAAAGCAATAAAACGCATCCAGATTGGTAAAGAAGTTAAACTGTCACTGTTTGCAGATGACATGATATTGTACATAAAAAACCTTAGAGAATCCATCCCAAAACTTCTAGAACTAATATCGAAATTCGGCAAAGTTGCAGGATACAAAATTAATACACAAAAATCTGTTGCATTGCTACATACTAACAATGAACTAGTAGAAACAGAAATCAGGAAAACAATTCCATTCACAATTGCATTAAAAAAAATAAAATACCTAGGAATAAACTTAACAAAGAAGTGGAAGCCCTATATTTTGAAAACTAGACACTCATGAGATAAATTAAAGAAGATACCAATAAATGGAAATACATCCCATGCTCATGGATAGGAAGAATTAATATTGTCAAAATGGCCATACTGCCTAAAGCAATCTACAGATTCAATGCAATCCCTATAAAAATACCAACAATATTTTTCAATGAACTAGAACAAAATAGTTCTAAAATTCATATGGAACCACAAAAGACCCCAACTAGGCAAAGCAATCCTGAGAAGGAAGAATAAAGCTGGGGGGATTACACACCCTGACTTCAAGCTCTACAACAAAGCCACAGTAATCGAGACAATTTGGTACTGGCACAAGACAGATCCATACATCAATGGAACAGAATAGAGAGCCCAGATATAAACCCAAGTGCATATGGCCAATTAATATATGATAAAGGAGCCATGGATAAACCATGGGGAAGTGACAGCCTCTTCAACAACTGGTGTTGGCAAAACTGGACAGCTACATGTAAGAGAATGAAACTGGATTATTGTCTAACTCCATACACAAGTAAACTCAAAATGGATCAAAGACCTGAATGTAAGTCATGAAACCATAAAACTCTTAGAAGAAAAAAATAGGCAAAAATCTCTTGAATATAAAACTGAGCAAATTTTTTCTGAACATATCTCCTCAGGCAAGGGAAATAAAAGCAAAAATGAACAAATGGGCGTACATCAAACTTAAAAGCTTCTGTACAGCAAAGGACACCATCAGTAGAACAAAAAGGCATCCTCCAGTATGGGAGAATATATTCTTAAATGACATATCCAATAAGGGGTTAACATCCAGAATATATACAGAGCTCACACACCTCAACACCCAAAAACCAAATAACCTGATTGAAAAATGGGTGGAGGATCTGACAGACACCTCTCGAAAGAAGAAATTCAAATGGCCAACAGGCTCATGAAAAGATGTTCCACATCACTAATCATCAGGGAAATGCAAATTAAACCACAATAGGTATCACCTCACACAAGGTAGGATGGCCAACATCAAAAAGACTAGGAACAACAAATGCTGCCTAGGATGTGGAGAAAGAGGAACCCTCCTACACTGCTGGTGGGAATGTAAATTAGTTCAACCATTGTGGAAAGCAATATGGAGGTTCCTCAAAAAACTAAAAATAGGAATACCATTTGACCCAGAAATTCCACTACTAGGAATTTATCCAAAGAAAAAAAATTCCAGATTCAAAAAGACATATGCACCCCTGTTTATTTCAGCACTATTTACAATAGCCAAGATACGGAAACAACCTAAGTGCCCATCAGTAGATGAACGAATAAAGAAGATGTGGTACACATACACAATGGAATATTATTCAGCCATAAGAAGAAAACAAATCCTACCATTTGCAACAACATGGATGGAGCTGGAGGGTATTATGCTCAGTGAAATAAATCAGGCAGAGAAAGACAAGTACGAAATGATTTCACTCATTTGTGAAGTATAACAACAAACCAAAACTGAAAGAACAAAACAGCAGCAGACTCACAGACTCCAAGAAGAGACTAGCAGTTACCAAAGGGAAGTGGGTGGGAAGGGTAGTTGGGGAGGGGGGATTAAGGGGCATTATGATTAGTACACATTCTGTAGGAGATTACAAGGAAGGTAGTATAGCACAGAGAAGAGAGGTAGTGTCTCTATAGCATTTTACTATGCTGATGGACAGTGACTGCAATGGGGTGTGGGAGACTTGATAATATGGGTGAATGTAGTAACGGTAATGTTGCTCACATGAAACCTTCATAAGATCACATATCAATGATACCTTAATAAAGAAAGAAAATACATGGGGAAGAAAATGTTTATTGGTAGGGCCTCACATTTAAAATCCAAATTTTCCTCTTTAAACTTCAAACTCTTAATAATTCAAATGTGTCACATATTAATAATGTGTAAGGTCCTGTTGGGGATTCAAAGATAAATAAGATGTGGTCTCTTCCTTTAAAAAGCTCAGAGACTAATGAAGATAGAAGAAATGTACACAGTTCACAAAAACTAATTTCAGAGAAATCATACTTGAAAGGACAAAACTGACTAAATCTAGCACACAGTAGGCACCCAGTTAATTATCTGTTGGAATAATGAGGTGTCAGGTCAGGTTCATCTACTTGAAGGAGAGGCTACTTCAGCTGGACTAAATCTAGATCTTCCATAGATGAATATTGGGGAAAGATGATTTCAGGGAGAGAAAATCACAGATAAGAAGGTAGGGCTGGGAAAGAGAGAAATGCAGAGTTTACTGGGTATAAAGTGTCAGTTGTGCAAGAGGAAAAAGTTCTGGATAGAGCAACAATGTGAATATACTTAACAGTAACTGAACTAGACACTTTAACTTGGTTAAGGTGGTACATTTTATGTATATATAGATTTATATTAAATCATAGATATGAATAGATTTTATCACAATTTTTTTTAAATGCTAAAAGTTTTTTTAAAGATAAAGAGGCAAATAAGTATAGGGATACTTAAACTTCAAGGTAGTTCAGTATGGCTAGAGCATGGGGATTGAGAGAAAGGGAGAGAGTCAAATAGAAAAAAGTAAAAAATCTGGAAAGGTATTGTTGGAAAGCACTGTCAATTAGACCACATCATAATATTAAGAAGCCTTTAGACATCTGTAATCAGTGAAATGAAATGATTATTTTAGCAAACTAACTCTGGAAGAAATATGAGGGATGGACCAGAGAAGACAGACACAGACGGCAGGCTGGAATGCTGACCAGAAGGCTACTGAAAGAGTCCAGCTCTAAAGTAAGCACTGACTGTATGAATGGGAAGAGAAGGACGCAGAGAAGCTGAGTCAAATGAGAAGTGAGAAGATGTCACTGGATTTTCACAATTAGTAGATCACTGATTACTTTCAGGAAAATGAGGAAATGGCTAAAAGAGATTACAAAATGAGTACATAAGAATACCAGAAATACGCAAACTATTCTTACTCAAGAATTCTGGCAATAAAAAGAAGAATGGGGAAAGGAAAAGAAGGATAAGCAAAAACAAGGGAGAAATGATTTGGTTTTTGTGTTGTAAGCACATTTTGCTTTGTTCAGTTTTCAGAACTAAAAGAAATGGAATGTCAGGGGAAGAGGTATATGCCACTTCTAGGCCTAGCCCACACAAATTTCCCACCTGATCCAGTGTTCATCTTCCTCTATCTGCCTGCTGAATGCCAACATGCAGTGTGAAACCTTGGAAACCACTTACTGAAAATACTACAGCCTCCATCCATGATGGAACAGGGCTACCTTACCATAAGGGGACTGACACAAGTGATAAATAAACTTCTGTTCTGTAGAACCACTGAGATTTTTTTTAAAAAGATGGCGTGAGCTAGCAGAAACAGGGATCAAGAGGACAAAAGGATGAAAAAGATGCAGCCATACAACTGTCACCACTATGAGTCTGGAAACAAAACAGAAGCATCACATTCAATTCCATGTAAAGAGGTGCCAAAGAGAAATTAAGCAGAAAAATATTTACACACAACCATTAACGTGAGACTGGTTTCTGAAGTAGTACATTCTATGACATTTTCTCCATTTTCCTAAATTAAAAAATGTCTTCTATATTCAAAATTTATTTTAAATTAACCCTTTGAACCATTTTAGAAAGGCTTTCATTTTCCCATTCAAGTTCTACTCAGAAATATTCCTAAATTGCTTAACACCCTATCAGATTAAGGCTGTTGAGAAAAGCAATACAACTAACTCATTTAGATTCTGAGGAAAAGTGAAAAAAATACATGATGAACCTCAAACATTCTTTCACTCTCCTTTCTCAACTAGTAACATGTTTCCTAAAGAATATGGGCAAACTTCCTAAAAAAGTATACTGGAGTGATTTGATACAGATATTCAATTTAACATTAACATAACTTCTTTAATGAATGAGGTATCTCCTTTTTTGTACCTGTTGGGACTCCAAGGTATGGTTGGAGTCATAGTGATGTCTGGAAACAAAACCCCATTGTCCTTGATCCTGTCTAGCGCATAATGCATTTCACAGAGGGGTAATCGATTTAATTGAAACTGAAGTTCAACCTGAAACACAAATTTTTTTAAAAAAGCATTAAAGCAAAGATCAATGCTTGCAGCTCAAATACTTTTGGAGATAGCTTTTTAGGGGAACCAAGTTTAGGGATTCTTTTAAAGTGTAATCATATTCTAATAATAATTATTATGGCTAATATTTGTTTTTTTTATTTAGTACCAGGCATTGTAACATGCAGTTTACATAGACTATTTTACTTACTAGTACCAGTGATGTATATACTATTATTAACCTCGTTTTACATCTAAAGAAACTGAGGCACTTGTAAAGTATTTAATCTTTAAATGAAGGTTATGAGTCTTTCATTCCTGTGAAGAATATATCTGAAAACATCAGTAGAACACCTGTGAAATATCATCTATTGCGTGATAAAAACAAGGCATATGACACTGTATCAATTTACTATGAATAAATAATATTCATCAAATTTTGTTTAATAAGAAAAAAGATTAGCTTTCTAGCAAAATATGGCAGACTGAACATACAGTCCACCTAAAAATTCACTAAGACAAAGAGAACAGGAGCAGATACAACTTCAGATGAGGACTGTCCCAGGATGTAGCCGTGTTTAATCTGTTCTTCCATTGCTGATTTAAAACTCTAATCAAAAAGCTCAACCTTATCTGAACATTTTAGATGTTACTTAGATTAAAGGGAATCAGTTTTCTCTGAGAGTTATGAGAGGTCCAATTCCCTGCCCCTCCATAGAACACTTCAAATGCACTTTTGGTAATGGAAGAAGGGAAATGAAACCAGAAGAGTATCAGCTGACAGGGAGACCACAGACAAGGATAGTTACGTTGCCACATTTCAACACACACCTGCGTATCATAATCAGGCCGAAGATTAAGTTCTTCACAGCATTCCCTGGATATCCTTAAAAATATATATTCTTTTGTTTTTTCTTCAATAGTAGCTTCATAAACCTTCTCTTTGGTTCCCTGGGTCTGTCCTAACTTCTCTTTAGGGACTGGTAATAAATAAACAGCATTGACTTTGGTCATCACCAGCCGTCCAGCCAAAGTATCTTCAGAAAGTGTTTCAGTAAGCTTAAAGCGACCAAAAAGCTGTCCATTCTGAGCATACTTTGCACCTCCAGCAACTCCAGTGAGCATGAAGCTTGCTAAAATCTGCAATTGCACTTTAAGGTTGAACCTATATCAGAAGTAGAAATCAAGTTTGAATATTTTACATCAAAAACATAAAAACTAGAAGACGAAAACAAAATAAATCAAATATAAATATAGAAAACATGAAAACTTTATTATCAATTCATTCCATTGGGCTACAAACTGTACACTATCTTTCTTCTTTTAATCCAATCTGGAAAAAGCAAAAATATTTTAAGTGAATAAACTCTCATGTGAGTTACATAAAGACACATATCTGTGTCTTTACTGTATTGAAGAATACAAACATTTTTTAAAAGTCTGTGTGTTTAAAATGAAGTTAAGTATGATATTTTAATACAGTGAGATATTATGTATTAAATAGTATTAAGTGTTCAAACACACCATTGGAATAATTAAGACTTTAAAATCACCTAAAACTAAGAGGAAATGGATGGCATTACAACCACAACTTTTACTAACTGATGCTTTCCAAGCAGATCTTCCAAAAGATTCCAACCATAAAATTTATCTTTCAATGCTGATAATAACATCAAGAATAAATTTTTCTTCATGGCTGCATCAAGGGAGATCTCACGCAAGAACTATGGGAAGAGAAGTTAAAGGCTATCTTTACAGACAATGGTTGGTGCACTCACACTTCCATGTGTATGCATGAGCCTAAGAGAATATGTATGTGGAAGCAGCACAGAGAATGAAGGTTAATTTATAGTCAAGAAATATGAAGAAACAGAATGATTTAAACTAACTACAGGTTTTCTCCTTAGCCATTCTGAAATCGTACTGTAAGAAAGAAGACAAAGTGGTAAGAATGGGACCATTTTCTACTTTTTTCTTAAGAGGTTTAAAATATTTGAGTGAAAAAATTAAATTGTTTAAAAAATCTATCCTTTTGTGGAAAAGGTTGCTTTTTAATGGTATTATGGAATTTTTTTTCAGATCTTTTGTACACATGATATCAAGAATGTCTTATAAATTCTTAAAAGGAAAAGAAAAAAATCCTGTTTAAAAACATAAATTTCTGTAATGGAAACATCTGTATTGCTTACAATATTGGGAAATCAAATCTAATTAAAACACTATACTAAACTTCTGAATGTCCATTTATATACTTTAAAGTTAGAAAATTATAAAGAAGAAATATTTTTACAGGAATAAAATATTTATGGAAAATAACATCTGAATAGCTACTCATCCATGTAATAAGTCATAAGAGTTTACAGGTTCCATTAGTAATTAAAAGATAATTTATAATAGACCATTTAAGGCTCCATAATATATGTAAATACATTCTAAAGTTCATATTTAGTAATGTGGCTTTATTTGAGGATCAAATGAATTTTAGCACTAATTGCTGTGTGTTTGTGTGTGTGTGTAATTACTAAAAATCACAGTAAAGTTCTCTCATTCTCTATGCACATTTCACTAGATTCAAACTAGAAAAATAGGATTACAGTTTAAAGAAAAATGGATGTTTTTCTAGTTATCTAGTTACATGTTATCTAGTTACATTTGACTCTTTAAAGACTGGAATGTGTACTGAGGATTCATATAAAAACAAGCTTTAAAATGGAAATGAAACAAAAGTACACTACACTCCCCAGTTTACACATAATCTACATTCACCTGCTTTAATAAAAGACACGTTTTAAAATAGAACAGGAACCCTCAGGTTCTTCAAGCTTTTTAAGTGAAGTTAACTTTTAATTTCCTCTTACTATCCATATAAGTGAGATTAAGAGTCGTTAAAAACTTTCTCAGAGAACAGACATTTCTTATAATGCATTCTTCATTCATAAATGACCCTTTCATTGCTAAAGCTGATATACATGTGTCTGGTTATTTCTTTCTAACTTTGCCATCACTTTCTACTTTCCTTAAACTCTCTCCTCCACTGCTGCAGTCATACTCCCTAGTTTTCTTCTTGCCTTTCAGCTGCTCTATCTTCCATCTAAGTCTTCTTACTCTGTGGGTTCTCACTAGGTGAGGGCACCATCTCCTTGGCCTCTCAGCTTAGGGCCATAAACCCAACTGCCAAATAGCTTCTGTGCTCTTCAAACTCAGTACAAGCAAAACAGAATCACTTTCTGACTTCCCCACATGTCACCCAAACCCATCCTCCATGTACTAAAGAGCTTAGGCAATGGCACTATCACCCACCGAGGTGTCCAAGCCAGACACCAAGTTATCCTTGCCCTTGTCTCTCTCACCAGCCTTCATTCCCCCACCACCAACTCCTGTTAGTTCCTCTTCGTTCTAACTCATCTGCACCTCAGTATTTTTAACTTGGATTACTATAAACAAATTCCTAATGCAACTTTTGTTTCAAATCTGTTCTCCAAACCATGACCAGAGGACTTTGTAAAATGCAAGTCTGATGATGAGCAGTTTGTTATATATAGCTCTGAGGATAAGGCTGAAACAGCACTGTCTCTCACCACCCTACCAGTGCCTCCATTACAGCTCTGATGATGAACTTGGAGCTTCTCCCAAAACTCTACACTCTTATTCTCATATCATCATTCTTCTAACTAAATACCATGATCCTATTTTCCCCTCACAGTTATATCTGCATTTCAAAATTCTGCTTAAATACCACCTGGTCCCCAAAGCAGACTTGATTCCCTCCTTGACTTGACTGTCCTTCTCCTCTTCGTTCCTGCAGGATAAGTGCCTCTCCGGTAGGGCCTTTATGCATTCCTCTATCACAATGCTGATTTGACACCATGGCATAACCCTACATTTAAAGGTCTGTCTCCCCTACTGGATTACAAACTTTTGGGAAACAAAAAATATAACTAGTTTGCCTTAGAATCAGCAGTAACTAGCCTAGAACCTAAGACTTGGACTAAGTAAATTTTGTTCACTGAATTAATTTTACATTTTTGTAATAATCTGATTTTTTTCAGGTATCATATTCCCATTTCAACTGCTTTGTATTATTTCCTAACAAATTCTTCAAATCCTATAATTTCTCAACTAACTTAGGCAACATATTAAAGTTTCACTGCTGACACCTGTTTCAGAATCCACCATTCCAAAACACTTGATCACAATTTAACAAAATGAAAAATTAATCTCACAGTTTTAAAGCAATAAGACAATCCTCTTGTGACATTTATTTGTGCCTTGCAACAAAACTCTTAAGGCAGAGGCACTGGAAAATATAAGTACTAAGAAATACAGCTTTTCCCACAGAAAATTCATCATATGTTCAAGATGCAGACATAAACTTTCTAACGGAAGTTCTAGCTATTAACATTTAATTTTTCTGAAAGATTAACAGGCTAAAACTATATTACACTAGTAAGCTTTCCTAGGTACTTAAAATAACATGTATTTTTAAGATTTTATAACTCAGAAATACCTAAATTACAAAGTATATCCTACAATTAAAGGTATTTCTTAAGAAGAAAAACCTTCTTTCCATTGTTGCGTGTCACATTTTGAAATCAACCTTAATGCATACATATAATTCCTAACCTTTTGGGGAATGGCATAATAGTAGCCAACTACATTTTCAACCAATTTAAAACCATGCTTAGCTAAAAGAAATATAGCTCCATCAATCTTAGCAATAGTTATATCTCTTGAGTGTAACTTTAAAAAAATGTCAAAGATATATAGTGAATTTCACCTCGTGCAATTTCTGACTGAAGGAATAAACAAAAATCAACCAAGGTAATAAGCCAATACCTGGGTTTATTTAAGCAGAGCAACAGAAACAGTATATCCAAAAGGCCTCACCCATCTTAACAATGAAATGTGCATCCACACACCATTTCATCAATAGTGTCATGCCAGCTATTACCACTGAGAAGCCACAACAACCCTATTAGGCATGCCATCACACAGTTCAATGGACACAACAGCTTCAGCCAAAGTCAATTTCTTTTGAAAATGTCTATCTTAGAATCAGACAGATTTCACTTCAAGGTAGGAGTATTACTGAAGGCAAATCAATATGTAGCTACGGAGAAGTTTTTTTTTTTTTTCTATCTTGAAAGAACTCAGAAACGTTTCTAAATCTTAAATGAAACGCAGTATTATCCTTACCACCTCCACACATCCCACACTAAGACTTGACATAAAAAAGAAATCTTTATCTCTGGACTGATTTGAAAAATCATCTTCTTTAAAACTTGATTACTAAATCCAACCGCAAGCCAAAAATTATTTTGTCTAATCTTGAAAGGCTTCATTCAGTCTATTTGCAAGAAAGGAATGCTAAAGTGAAAATGTAAGTATGAATTCCCTTGATAATACTTTCATGATTAGTAGAGTCAACCCTTGAACAATGCAGGGATTAGGGACACCAATCTCCATGGAGTCAAAAATCTGTGTATAACTTTTGACTCCCCCAAAATTTAACTACTAATAGCCTACTGTTGATTTTACAGTAGTATATTACTAGCATCTACATGTATTTATGCATCCATGACATACCTTTTTCACTATTTCTAGGCTATGTAGCTCATCTAAGAGTTTTTTCAAATTGTCACAAATATCAAAAAAGTTTCCAATATATTTATTTTAAAATCTGCATATAAGTAGACTCATGCAGTTCAAATCTTTGTTGTTCAAGGGTCAACTGTAATATTCTGCTTAAACTGTCAAAGTTCACAAATGACAATACACTTTCTGGACCTTGGGAAATATCCTATCAATCACGTGGTATGTCTGACTACAAGATCTCAAAGAGGCACATTTCGATACATACAGAATATATTATTACTGTCCTATACATCCAAGTCATTTAGAGGGATGAGTCCATTTACCCATACCATTGTCTTTTGGCTTTAAATTGGGTCTCAATCCACAACAAAACATTCTTCACCATTCTAATGGTGACTTGGGTTTGCTTTGGCGGCTGGTATTGGTTAGAACAGATAGGCAAAATGATGCACCAAACACACTAGAATGTAGCCCAAGGGCCAAATCCAATCTTTAGTTTATTTTGTATAGCCCTTGACTACAGCTACACAGTTTGTTTTGTACAAAGACTGCAGGGAATCCACAAAGCCTGAAATATTTATACTCACTGATCCTTCACAGAAAAAATTTGCTGATGTCTACACTACAGCATAGGGTAGTAAGCTGCATTCAGACCTCCCTGAAATCCATATTTTAAAAAAATATCTGTTATGTTATTTATGCTTAAAGAAATAACAATCAAATGTGAACTAACTTTGAGGTAGCATTAAAATGCATATGAATATTAAGTTTACAGGGTAAAGTAGAAAACAGAAAATAAACTTTTTAAGCAGTGTATAAAAAAAACTCTGTCAAAGACTTATAAAAATCCTTACAATTTATGTCTGTTATTTGTCCCTTGTCTATCTACTTATACATGTCCTCTGAGACCTCTTATCTGATAACTAATAGGGTTTGCTTCTGTGTATGTATACCAGTTCTATACTTGACTTCACCAAGTTTTACAAGCCTACCAAATCCAGAAGTGTAATTTACCAGCCTTCACATTCAGGGTTACCTTTGGTTGACAGATCACTGGAAATTTTTCAGAATTCTCTTATACAGTTACTATCTACTCATCATGTTAGACATGTAGCAATAAATTCTCACTGCTATCTTTAAGATCCTTCAAAATATACACATCAAAAGTGATCCTGCAGATTTATATTCATTTAATAAATACTCCTATTTCAATCAATAAGTATGATCTAATTTTAAAGATTAAAAAAACAGAGAGAAAGCCCAGATGTTCCTATAAAAAGACCATATACTATCTTATCAATGTCTTACCACATTGTCTACACTTTCTACCCCAATCTTCCTTTTCATATCTAGGGGCAATTTTACACCATGATCATCAAGTCCTACAACCGATAATGTTCTGGTTTCCTTTTCATTTGTTTGCTTTTTCTCATTATAATAGTTGTACACAGATAATGTACAACCTTCTAGAAACCAAGGAAACTATATATTAGAACATAAAATCACCTGTAATCCCACCAACTAAAACACTCTGCTTTCAATCTTTTCAATATTTTCTTATACAAATGTATTCATATGTGTGTATATTCAAATATGCCGAATTAGAATTGCAGTGGATAAAGTTTCATAACTGACCTATTTTCTCCTTAATATCATATCATGAGATCTTCACTGTATTAAAAAATTTCAAGAACATAATTTCAGTAGAGTAGTCCCCCCTTATCTGTGAAGAACAAGACCCCCCAGTGGTTGCCTGAAACAGCAGACCATACTGAAACTTGTATATGCTATGTTTTTTCCTGTATCTGTATACCTATGACAAAGCTGAATTGATAAATTAGGCACAATAAGAAATTAACAACAATAACTAATAATAAAATAAAACAATTTGACAATATGCTGTAATTGAAGCTATGTGAATGTGGTTTCTCCCTTTGTCAAAGTATTTTATTTCACTATACTCACTCTGCTTGTGATGATGTGAGCTGATAAAATGCCTACATGATGAGATGAAGTGACATGAATGACACAGGCACTGTGACATAGTGTTAGGCTACTATTGACCTTCTGATAATAAGTCAGAAGGTGGGTCATCTGCTTCTAGTCTGCAGTTGACCCCAAGTAACCGAAACTATGGAAAGCAAAACCTAGAATAAGGGGGGGGGTCTATATTCCTTATGTGGAATTTCTCTTCTAGACAATACTATATTCCTTATACATAATAATATACATGCATATTAACAATGTGAATGATGTACATGATACAAGCCGCTGTCATTTAATTAATGACCATTTCATTAGAACTATATATGGATACAATCAATAAAAATCTTTTAAGAGAACATCATTGGGCCATGATTAAAAGTCTTACAGTAATGAAAAATATATATCATCTGATTTTGTAATTTTTATATGTATTTAATTTGTAATTAGTTGTTTTCCAAAAGTTAGATCTCATATAATCTATAAATAGAGTAACAAAGGTATCTCTAAGTTTTCACTTTTCCTTTTCTGAATATATCCATTAATGAATGTTCAGTATCTGTCTATAATATTAATGATAAGGTAGCAATAAGGCAGGTTAGAAAAGAAAAATATGTTAGTTAGGCTGTATTTAGGGGGAAAACTGTAAAAGATGTGTTCATGTCTCATAACTGTGATTCCATTTTTAAGGCTTGCTCCCATTGTATCTAAAAAGTAGAATGCTATAAGCAAATAAAACAGCTATTTCATTAACATCTTCCTTCACTCCAACTCTCATTTCTAAGATTACCTTTCCTATAATGATTCAAATAAGCTTTTGGTTTAAACTCTTGGTCTTCACCTGTGGCATATGGATAAAATGTAAAATATAATAGAGTATTTATAAATGCCTATAAGGGTATTTTACTATTAGGAAATAGTTTTCCGGAAGATTTTTAAAATGTCATTCTTAAAATTACTTCCCAAAACAAATATTCATTGAATGCCTGCTCTGACTACCATTAACAGAAACCTCCTGAAGAGCAGGGACCACACATTCATACTCCCAGCATGGGGCAGAGACTTGTGGAAATGAACTGTTCTAAATTCTATGGATGCCAACATGAGCAGGACACAGTTCTTGCCTCAAGAAGTTCATAGACAGCTACTGAAAACAACCATTTTACTACCTGTCTTCACTTAGCCACACCTCCATTTTAAAAATGAAAAATAGCATCCAAAGGTGAGATTTTTTTTTTAAGTGTTTCTAAAGTAACTTACTTGCTAACTTCTTTATACTGGGCTATCTCCTCAATATAGAGAAGGTCATGCAATCGTGATTGATAGTTGGTCTTGGTCAGTGATTTGTCTAAAACAGACTGGGTAAATAGCTGGTCAGCAGAGAGAGGAATTTGGTATCTGATAAGAAGGCTCTTCTCCAAATCAGTAGTTTCATTAGGTTCAAAATCTATAATAGTCTTAGAAGAAGAATCCCACCGCTTAGCTGTGGTTACTAGCTGTTGTTTTGCATGCATCAGGTATTCAAGATCTAAATGGAAACAAAAAACACATTTATAAAGGAACACAACATTAAAATTCTCAAAGAATATGTTACACATTTTATATACTAGAACTAAAATTCCTAAAAACAAAACAATACAAAAACCCACTTGACAGTGTATTTTCCCCATATCAGAAATGGTTTTTTTTTTTTTTGGTCTAGCTTAACCAAATAACACAAATAGGAATCCATTTTTTTTTACACCACACTAGAACATGCCAAAAACACTTATCAACATTTAAAAAATGCAGATTAACATTTAGAACTTAACTCTTCAGTCAGGAGAAATCTGAACCGCAGGAAGAAAATATGATAAATTCCTCATAAGACAAAATCTATCAGGTGATAATCACTTTTCTCCTATTACCAATACCTGCCCCTTTATAGAAAAAGAGGATTAGAAAACTAAAAGGGTGAATCTTTTCCTGTGTGGTAAGGCACAGTGAAACTCTCTGAAAGTCAATTTACAACAAAAAATCTTTTAGATAATATTAATGTACAACACTGCTAATTCCACATTAAAATGTGATATAATGTAACATACAAATGCCAGCTTAGCCTCAGAAAAATTATACTCTAAGTAGGGCACAAAGTCAAATGGCTATTCAAGTTCTGACATCTGTGAAAAAAACGTAGCATAACACCAGCAAAGGGTGAAATAGATAAAAAATTCTGAGCACTGGGTAGGCTCACTCTATTTGCAGCGCACAGTATTTTTCTATTGGGTGGAACATATACCTATAAATATAAAAAGTTAAACGAAAGGGGAAAAGGGTTGCTTAAATGACTCATTAGGCCAAGATCCAATTCTAATGTAACATAACTGAAAGATGGATTTTACAATTCAAGTTAAAATTTTAGGAAATTTAAAGAGTTAAACGGTTTAAACAGAGATCAGTTAGTCTCCAAAGTCAAACAAATTATCCTGTTCTATCTTTGAAATGAGAGCAACATGTACAATTGCCATGTCTTGCTCAGTGAGAGATTTCACTACATTTAAATGTTACATATAAATTAAAAACATCTAAGTATAATCATCCACCAAGAGAAATTTCTCAGTATTAGAATATAGCTGATCCTAATATATTACTGAAGATTAAAGACCCTAATTTAAATATAAAAAAGGCCCTCATTTCTTACCTTTGCTCCTTGTAAAGGCATTTTTAATTTTTACATGACAGTTTTACTATTCCTCAGATGACAACATAAATACAACTATAATCATCAAGATATAAAGACAGTCCACTCATTAAAAATCTGCATTTCTAAAATACTCTGGATGACATATGAGGTGATGATGGTCTGTTTTCACAGTAGCCTCACAAGTAGTTTTCATAAAGTGAACTAACCACATTTTCTTCCTCTAAAATGGGGCCCTGTCTACTCAATCATTCGGTCACAGCTACAAAAAAATATTTAAATTCTATAAATGCCAACATTCCTAAACAGATTATACCATCACTCAACATCAGACGCTAATTATTATCAAAAAAGCAAGGATATACATAATTATTTTCCATAATTCAAAAGTCAAAAAGAGAAACAGCCATGGTATAGTGATAAACCCAATAACCAGTTATTTAAAAATAAAACTAAAATGCTACAAACTTTTGAAGAATCTATTTAACATGTAATACAAACATGTCTAACAATCTTTGGGGACATCATTTTATTTTAAATAAGAAATTGATTCAGACTATGCCTAGATCAATCTTCTGTTCACATTCTTTAAGAAATCACTAGTTCTTCCTAACTGATGTTTAAGTAACTGGGATAAAAACAAATCTAAGACATTACAGTTTTCCTTTTAAAAAGCTTTTTGTATCACCTATTTAATATGCAAAGCAAATTATACATTCATTCTATTCTGGGCCAGTATTCAGGCTTTTGGGGAAAAGTGGCATGAGAAATAGTATTTGTTTTTCTCATTTGATCTATATAGTGCCATGATTCCCACCAATTTTGTGAAATTCTTGAAATTAGTGTCTCCCACAGGCAGCATGATTTAAATACAATTCCCTAACAATGTTAAATTTTATTCTACTTATTCTTAAAAATGAGTAAAAACACAGTACAGGGGAGCAGCAAGCCAAGGGAGCAGAAAGAAAATCTTGAAAAAAATCCATGTTTGCCAACATCAAAAAGTCTACAAACTACTGATCTCATTTATTACCTAAGATGTCAAAAATTAACTGTGGACAGTGACTACTAAGGATGCATTTTCCAAAAACCACTTTTCTTTCCCTGCTTCATCTGAACTTGAGACAAATTTCTACCTCCAATCCTCTCACTTGTAAAAAGAAATTTGTTAAATCTGTTAAATTACCCACCCAACTTATAGTGCTTAAAGGTTGTTAGGTCCTAAGAGTTTCTCTTTAAATAGATGAGGGAGATGAGGACCCTCATAAGGGCACTAGACATGCTACTACGGGGGCTCATTTAACCCCCACCAGCTCCAGGTGTTAGCACCTGCTAACATCTAAACCCGACATATGTACTGCTCAGGGCAGCCTGAGCCAGCACTTTCTTGATAAGTACTTTTCTTCCAACTAGATTAAGCTAAAATGAAAAATGCTCTGGAAAAGATGAAAAGTGAACAGGTTATGATCAACACACAAAAACACATGAGAACTTAAAAGTAACTTATTAACCAACTCCAATAATAATTAATAATTAATAATAAATCTCAAAGCAAACATGAAAGATATTATAAACTTTTGGAATTTGTTACCCTAAAGTATGGCAGAGGCTATAAATATGCTTTACACGAAAAAGTTAAAGACAATTAGAGCATACCTAATATTTTAAGATAACAAGGGAAGAGCTACTGTCAAAAATAGAATTCAAGGTTGGAATAACTAGTCTGATACAAGATACACTTCCCAACTTATCCCTTGCCCTTCTGATTACTGAGAATAACAGTGTTCTTGTTTCAGCCACAGTTACTATTCTAATACAGTAGCTTGTTTACAAAGGCTTGGTTTGTTTTGTCTTGAAGTATTTAGTACAGCAGACTTGAAAATTAGCCTTAACAAGACCTAAAGAGCAGATAAAGGAGAAAAAATAAAATCCAATGCCTTCTAACAAGGGCTGACACAGAAGAGGCTTGCAATAAATGCATATTAAATAATTTAAAACACCTATATTTTTCTAGGAATGAGAGAGTATGAGATTAAATGATTCTTAACTCCAAAATCAGATACCACACTCTTCCTTAGAAACCATTTTGGTCTGTGGCTTTACAAGTCTTGACAGCTCAAATTAACAATAAAATAGAATCTAGAAGTTATCCCAAACTACCATGTTCAGCTATCCATTTCAATATTGTTCCTTTCAACAAAACTGCTACATGGAGGGAAGATGTACATCTCTTAGCTAATTGTGTTGCTGTCCCAAATTTTCATCTCTTAAAGAGGCTAATAAAAAGTTAAACCAGCAAAGTAACAGCACCAGAGTACGTTATACTTTTACAAGCTTCTACTCAGTTACTTTTCTCTTTTATTGACAAGTAAATTGTATATTAACATCTATTTTTCTATTACTTTTCTGATCACATAATATTAAATATGTAATATTTAACACAGGTATAACATGTCATTAATTTACCAAAAACTCTGGCAACTGAAGATCATTTTCAAGTAATAGTAAATTTTAAAGTTAACACACATTGCTAGACTCAAAGTAGAGAAAGTATATACATACATATCAAATTTTAAAATTTGAATGTAAGAATTAATTTTCAATATGTAGTTTCCAGATATTCAAAGAACTCCAAATCAATTTTGTCAAGCAAAAATTCTCCATTATTCAAAGTTCTGGTATATAGTGTATAATGTAGTTTGTTTTATAAGCAAGGGGAAAACTCAGTAATTTCCTTATTTTTTCCTAATTTCCTAAATTTTCCTTATTTGTAGATGTCTTTTGCCACATTTTTAAGGCACATCTTTAATCTAAAAACAAATTTTTAGTACAAATAGTGTCTTTTCCTGAACCTGAATCTCACCAAGGGAAAAACACTGAAAAAAAGCAAAGTCAAAGTTATATATATTCCTTGACCAGTTTGCAGGATTGCCATATAACAGGAAAAAAATTTATTCCTCCAAATAGACAAGGTCTGGATGCTTTAATATCATGAAAATAATGTTTGAGAAAAACCCAAAAACTATGGGTTTTTTTCTCAAATTCAAATTTGAATTAATAAATAAGTAGAATTTTTAGTTCAGTAACAAACAATGAAAAGGACAAAAACCACATGATCATCTCCATAGATGCCAAAAAAGCATTTGACAACATTCAACATCCATTCATAATAAAACTCAAGAAAATGGGTATAAAGGGCAAGTACCTCAACATAATAAAGGCCATATATGACAAACCCACAGCCAATCACACTAAACAGCGAGAAGCTGAAAGCTTTCCCTTTAAGATCAGAAACATGACAAGGATTCCCACTCTCCCCACTTTTATTCAACATAGTTCTGGAAGTCCTAGCCATGGCAATCAGACAAGACAAAGAAATAAAGGGCATCCAGATTGGTAAGGAACAAGTTCAACTGTCACTGCTTGCAGATGACATGATGTTGTACACAAAAAAACCCTAAAGAATCCACCCCAAAACTACTAGAATAACTGAATTCCGCAAAGTTGCAGGATACAAAATTAATACACAGAAATATGTTGCATTCCTATATACTAACAATGAACTAGCAGAAAGAGAAATCAGGAAAAAATTTCTATTTACAATTGCATCAAAAGAATAAAATACCTAGGAATAAACCTAACCAAGGAGGTAAAAGACCTATACCCTGAAAACTACAAGACACTCATGAGAGAAAGTAAAGATACCAATAAATGGAAATACATCCCATGCTCATGGGTAGGAAGAATTAATATTGTCAAAATGGCCATACTGCCTAAAGCAGTCTACAGATTCAATGCAATCCCTATCAAAATACCAACAGCATTTTTCAATGAACTAGAACAAATAG